TCCAGTAAGATGCAGGTCAGCGTTGTTGGCAGTATTTTTTATCACAGCTTATGCCAGTGCTTGAGTCAGAGACTCCAACTGATTTTATCGTTGTTAAATAAACCTCGGCTTCGCTGAGTGTTAACTCTGTAGGCATCTTCGAAATGACTTTGAGTGTTTTGCGTGAGGCACCTCGCTGCAGACGAACAGTTAACGATATTCCGCAGTGAATCAGTGTGAAACTACGCATCCTCGTTATTACGGTATCATATGCGAGCCATTGTCATTAGCAAACGAGACAATTAGTCCATGCGGCACTAAAGGACCAAACCAAATATCCAAGTTCTCCAGTAAAAACGAGACAATGGACGTCAGACGACGCATGATAGAAAACTGTTTATCAAGAGCATCAGTCTAAAATGAAAGAAAACCCTAGCACAGAGAGTGGTGCGGCTTGTAGTTTCGTGAGGTCTTGCAACATAAGAGCCTTTGGCGATATCTACCTCACTGGACATGAAAAACTGTGTTAATATATAGTCTCTCAAATGCTCCACATTTTCAATACAAGGCTTTGGGTGTTACACACTGGTGAAGTGACACGTGACGTATTTCATCCGAGGTCATTAGTAATGAAAGTAGAGGGAATTTAAATGACATTGGCGTGTTGTAGATAACATTCCAAAAAATATCCAGTTACCTCATGCCTTGTTTGTTTGTTTCTTTCATTCATAAACGTTAGGGTTTAGTGCTAATCTTCTGTACCAAATTAGGAAGCCACCAACTTTCAACAAAGTTCACATTTCATCGTGAAAAGGGGGAAGTCACCAATGAATATTATCTAATATATCGCAGAGTACGATACCGTGTGTTATCCTGACAGATTGTGGCAACAGCAAAACCCGGTGATCAACAAGAAGCACGAATAGTGAGGGGAGTAACCTTTGGAATGCACATACCTAGTCTTGACTTTAAAACCAATCTAGGCGGGGCGTTATCGTCTGGACTTATCCTCAAAGCGAGCGTGATTAAATACCAAACCGCTCACCTCCTGAGTACAGGCTTCCTTGGATTGTCTGCGCTAACTCATTTAAACCAAACATTATTTTCGTCACCGAATGCCAAGTGGTTCATTTATACGTATTTTATTATTGACTAATAGAGTGACAACTAGAAATACTCTAAATCTATCAGTTGACATGCATGCTTCATGTTAATGCAAAATCTACCCTTATGTGCTTCGGTTCAAGGTCAAGGACGTATAAGCGGCGAAGTTCGTTCTGATGCTGAGCAATAAAATAATTTAAGGCAGTTGGTTGCTAAGATGAAGAATTCTATAGGCTGTTCCTATGTCACTGCCGTTTTGGGAAGGACACTCGAACCTCGCTTAGAATATGCAAATAAACTTAACTATTTTCATATTTCTAATTGTTGCAATGGGTGCTGTGCCTCGTCTGCTCACAAATAATAAAGCTGTTTGACTAATCTCTGCCACCCTGTATGTGAAGCCCGTCTGCTCAAGTAGATCATCTCTGCAGTTGGTAATTCATCGACTGCCATCTTCTTCGTTTCATGGGACTAGCTTAAAAACTCCAGAAATAGTTGCTCACTGGAGCGCATAATAATTCTTTCCAGCTCGACTGTCCTGTCGACTCGATGAACAGGTATGAGAATGTTTGCTTAATGGTTTTATGTCACTTATATGTATTACCTGTTTGGTGCCATGCTTTACTATCCTCAGGCAATGAGGCGAGCAACTCTTAGGGCTGCAGTTTAGTTCAACCTGTCTGAAAGCTAACTTTGCAGCAGATGTATAAAAAACACCTTGTTCTTTGTAGAGGCAAATTCTTGTTGTGTACTCTACAGTACCGCGATGCTTCGTAAAGTAAAGCTTGGTGTCCGGAGGACAAATTGTACCTATGTGCTTCTGCTTACAAGCAACCAGGCAAGAAAATGGTTTCACTTTTGAAATCTGCCTGGTACAGTATCCCAAGAAGCACTAAGCTTAATTTTGTATCAAACCAGCATTATATCACTGCCAACTAGAAATCAGGTGACAGACTGACATGGAAAGAAGAGCATTTAGAGAATCTAGCTGTATGGAGACTTGGGCAAGATAGCGAGTGACGACTGTGAAAAAGTGATCCATATTTGCTTATGACAAAAAAAATCGAACAAACGCGAATCTCCCAATAAGAACCAAATAACGGTTGACAACAACTCATTCTGATCCCACCAGTGAGTATTCTTCTGCAGCTCGGCATGAAGGTTTGATTCCTTGATTCTGTTTTTTAATCTCATATACAGACAGAAGTTTTTTGCCTAACTTAGAAAGCCAAACGCCGCAAATGAAGTAATAAATTAAAGGAAAAGTTATTATGCCACTCAATATTTTTTCATACAGGTGTCGGTTATTACACCTCAGCTATAACAGGTTTTTTCTTAGGCAGACCTCCTCGTGATTTGTTCGTGTTTGTTGCTGGCTGGTCTCTTGGTCGATAGTTCTGTTGTTTTACCACTAAAATTGTCATTTGGTCGGTGCATTGGTCGATGGTCGGGTCAGTCAAGTAGGCAGGTAATCAATCAATCAGAGAGTCTCTTACGTAGCCAGCTGATTACTCAGTATCGATAGCCGTTTATCCTTTGGGATCACCTGAGACTGCAGTGCCTGGAGGTGTCCCCAACGCTCTCAAACCTGGCCAGTGCCTCAGCTTTGGCAGAAGATCACTTGAGTCAGGAGAAAGTCTGGCCGAGACACTGAATCCAGGTCATACTTAAATACCTCCAGGGTTTTAGCCGTTCGGTTGAGAAAGCAGTTGCTTTTTCGCGTTCGTTATTTCTAGAAGAATTAGCGAAACATGACCGAACTCTGGCAGCTGCGACTTCTCATTCCGTAGAAGCAGCGGATGTTCAGCAGGCCTTTCTTCGATATTGAACTGTGAACTCTGTCGAGATACGTCAGTCTAACGATATATCTTAAAGTCCTTACTTGAGTAGATAAATAATATTTGGCTTAATTACTAGATATTGCTTAATCAGGACTTTAAATGGCACTCAGAGAGTAAATACTCGCCTCAGGAAATAAAGTAAGTAGTATTAATTACTTAATTGTGAGTATTTTGCTAGCGCATATAAGCAGTGGTCAATTTCTGCTAATTTATGGAAGTTAGAAAAAGCCTTCATCGTTACTGAAGCTGGTAAAGGAACGTATTTAATCACCAGACTATTCTTTGACATGCCATCCCTTAGTTGGTCTCTGAACATTCCATCCATACAGTACAATCAATGCATTCGGATTTATGAATGGGAAACGTAAGCCCAATAATAAAGCCATGTAAGGATATGGGTCCTGATCACAAATTTGTCATGGTACTCGAGGAAGCTGTAAGTTGAAAGGCGAGCGATTTTTCAGTTCTTCGCTTTTAAGCGGGTTTCGCATTATCGTTAGAATCAAAGTTGAAATTAGCGGTGAAAAGACTCCTGCTGAAATCGATGTATTGACTTTCAGCGTAGTCATTAAGAGGCGAACACTTGCCATTGTTTGCCTGCCACAGTCACGATGGCTGGCTGATTCGAGGTAAAAAGTAGTCACTAAGGCTTGAGTTTCGTTTCGAAGGCGAGAACTAATAACCTGTCTAAGCTCGGCTGCGTCAGCGAATACTGATGAGGAAAAAGGGCAAAATAACAAGTCAAAAGTATAGAAAATGATGAATGCATTTTGGCTACCTCTAAGAAGCTGAAAAACGATTATTCATATATAAACAAGTTTTAAAATCTAAAAACGAAAAGCGAACGTTACACGAAGCATATTATCATCTGACGTATAAACAAGATTGATATCAGGAAATGATATAAACCCGTCGGTTTCCTTTCGTCACATAGATGCGGTGTGTTCGAATGGTATTTCAAAGCCCCCTGAAATTTTTTAAAAAATTATCGACATTAACAACCGGTCATTTTATTGCAATCCTGTTGTCAAAAGCGTTCCAACTTCTGTGTCTCTGTTGGAGTTGTCTCGTCGGTCAGGTAATGAGGTACTGACATTTCCATGCTTTGGAGGAAGTGGTGTCGAGGAGAACGATACACTGATTACAAACATAGAAAAAATTGCAACTGAAGAGTATACTTCTGTGTTAATTTCTGAGGAAAGCACCTTAAAGCGTTTTTGCTGTGCCACTTCTCCTCCAAGGCTTATTAAGCTTATACATAATTTCCCTTATACTTTCACGAGTATGGACCATTTATGGCGCCCTTCATTTCATGAAGTCTATGGTTCGACGGTGATCTCCTTTTCCATGCCATCAGCCAGAAGAAAGAGCCCTTTTAGAAATTTCTTGCTTTTTTCCTCTACGGTGGTACTCATTTATCTACCTTGGAAGGAAGAAAGACGAGTGATCCAATTTAGGCTTGGATTCGGGATCTCTCAGTTTTGAATTCTACCCTCGATCGACTGAGCAACCCCAGACTCAGTGACAATAACGATTATGTTGGTGAAGATGATAACGACAATGATGATGTACACAATTATGAGGTAGAGTGGGCATAACGTAACTTTAAATGAAGGTTGTGAATG